TCCTCCTCTCTCTCTCTCTCTCTCTCTCTCTCTCACTGACACATGCAGTGTTAATTGAAACCAATAAATGAAAAGAAACAACAATCTTCATTGATGACCAGGTTCTATTTAACACAGATGACACATAACCAATAGTCAAACTCTCCCTCTTCCCCTCAATACCATGGTCTTTGCCTAATGAAGTGACCTGCTTTGTAGTAAGGAGTTCGACACCTCGAGTCCTCATAAGAACCAGCATTTTAAACCTTACAAAGGGGAAATAAGAAAAGAATGAGTTACCAGGACTGGATAACACAGCACGGGGCCTTGGCAGTGGGCTAGCTCGAATATTAGGCCTGTCTTCTGCATCAATTTCTTTGTTCTTTTCTACTATACAATCGCGACGTTGGACCTGATGAGCAAAAACATATAAACACTTCAAAACATATAAACACTTCATGGATAATTCCAACTAAGTTGAAAATTAAATGAAAAAGGTCGAGAATGTCACATTCGGAACATGGGAATTTGGATCCCTTGCAACTGTTGGGGGAGAGCAGCTTCGGTATTCAACACCTATAGCACAAGATGCTCATTAGAAGAACTAAGCAACAAATCATAAGCAAACCACTTCAAATAAATTTAAGTAAATAAACTTACAAAGGAAGCAGACGCACAGCAACAATTTGTGATTTTTCGATCTTCAAATTAATTATATGCATGGAGGCCTATAAGACCAGGCTTATAAGGGTCCCATAAGTTTGGAACATCTGGACCATCCAGTCTCATAGACGGTCAACCAAGTAGCTTAGGTCACTGCTTACATTTCAATCCCTACCTGATCTATTGTTTGATTGGACAATTCATAAAAATGCACAATCTGGATACTCTAAATTAAGAAAAACATATAAGCCTGATCATGTAATCATTCCCCTCGCATGCTAACAAAAGTAAGACAGACTTACGTAATCATCCCCCTCGTATGCATAAAAAAACTATTATGTCACAGGCGACCCTTATGTCATGAAAGGACAATGACTTCTCAAATGTAGTCTGCAAGGAACACAAAATGAGTTTTAATATTCTTCTTTTATTTGTATTCGACATTTTCCAGGACTCCTCCAACCACCAGATGTCGAACAACAGACGGTTGGGATATGTCTTTGATCAGCTCAAAGAATGGCTGATCTTTTGACAGAGTTCAAGTAAAAAGCTCACTCGTCCATCCATTGTAAACATTGGACATGTGGGGTGCTTGTAATTTGTATGAATCCAAATTGACAACAAAGAAAACATTCCATAAACATAAAGTATACTGGACTTCCGGCTGTGCCCAAGATAGTGTACATGGTGCATTGCTCCTGGTAAAAGGCATTTGTATGTGTGAGGTCATAGTTGTAATCAGTATATAAGTCTCTTTGTTCCTTTGCTCTAACTTGAGGGCATTTTAGAATCATAGCAGTTCTATGTATAACTTGAGGGTTCAGTTTGACTAAGATCATTCAGATATTATTCTCTGATGTTTACATGGTATCGTAGCCTATTTTTCTTCATGAAACTCTATTGAGACCCTAATTTACTTGTTTATTTACAGTAGGGGATCTGATTTCGGGCAAAATCAGCTACCAAGCACCTCGGTTAAACTTATGCGTGAAAATTCCTTTTATTGGGTCTACAAGTATGCATGTACAGACTGAATGGACACCCTTTCTGTTGTAGCTTTTCTTTAATTGAAATGAGCATCTTGGAATTGATTTAAGGACAACTTAATTTCTTTTTCAGACAAATTTCGTTATCATAGTTCATTATTGGTTTAAAGGGCAAACACAACGAGACAAAAGCAACAGTGTTACACCAGTGAAAATGGCAAGAAGCAAAAGAAGCAAAAGAAACCAATAAGCAAAAGAAACCAATAAGGCCAATTAGACGTTGCTTGAGTGAAATTCGAAGTTCTTAGTGTTTCTACAATTGATTCTGTTATATTGCATAAAAAATCGAGTCCTCTCGAATTCAGGAATCTAGCAGTCCATTGCAATTAGAATCTGTAATGTCTTAATGAAGTGGGGTTCAGAGTCGTGGAATCAAAGCAATAGCTCATTGGAAGTCTACAGCCTTCATCCTTGGAAGTCCTGACACGTCGTGGAATCAAAGCAATAGCTCATTGGAAGTCTACAGCTGCCATCCTTGGAAGTCCTGACCCTATATACACCTTTTAGCTGGTACTGATAATGTGTTGCAATTGGGTGAAAAACATATTCCCTTAATCTTTTTCTTCTTTGAGTGTAGGATATAGGATGTTTTAATAACTTACTGATTAGCTTGACTAAATAATGATTGTGTCAAGAAGTTCTACGATTATAATACCAAATTTCAGTAGCTAAATGATTGTCGAACAAGTCAGACGAGTCAACTCAACTTGCCCAAGTCAGATCCACTCTGCTCTTCGACTTTTGATAGCTCAGTTTTATCCAAGTTTTGAAGTTTTCATAAACATCCTTGGTTCTTTTGGGTCCAATAAAGATCTATCATAGTTAGATCTCCCCAAAATTTCCAAAGCAATAATTATCTTATAAAATGTGATTCTCATACGAAAATAAACATGAGAGCATTATTCACAACACTAAGTTCCACATTTGTATCTCATAGTGATTAAAAAATTATATGAAGAAATAGAACCCAAAAGGAAAGAATAGGTCTAACCAGTAAATAAATGGTGAAGCCCCACTTTGCCTTTCAAGAAGTCTAAAGTCTAGGTCTTGGACCAGAAGTTACCAACTAGGTGAATCCAAAAGACATTCATTTTTTCAGCTATATATGCATCATGACATTCTAACTGCAGAATCTGATAAGTATGACTCTATAATCAATAGAACGACAAAATAAACTCAATTGATTCCCACTTACCTAAACTCTTCCTCCATGTTCAAAGTTTTTGGCTTCCGTATACAAACTGGTACCCATATTCCAACCATGTCAGAAAATGTCATTCTATATCAAAAGAAGACATAAAACTATGCATAACTAAAGCATTAGACACATACCAAGTTTTTCATTTATAAAAGTTTGCTCACTGGACAATTCATGTTGATTCAATCAGTTTTTCCAACAACTCGGAAATGAGTTTAATCACTGCTCTTTCTTCATTGGTCTCATTCTTTGATATGTCCATACCAAATTTCCATTTATGAAAAATAAAACTGTGTCCTCTAGTTGTATATATTCATTTCAATTCCGGGGCCATTAATTGGTTCACGTTTCCTCATTGCTTCAAATCGAATAAGGTCTATATAAGGAGTTCCATTTCTATCAGTGATCCAAATCTGTGCAAATAGACGTGTTGTCCCTACCTCAAGTTCAAATTCATTTTGTTCCTAATTTTTCAGTGGTAAGAGTTGAACTTAAGATGTAGTGCCCCTTAATAGGCCTAGTTCAGCTATGATTCTTACCTCTCATTAGTCCAACTCATACCCTGATTAGATTGTCAACTCAAATCATCCTATGAGTCTGATTCTGTAAAGTTTTGCTTTTATTAGCATCATTGTCCTCCTTTATTACAGCTTCAAATGGTGAAGCCACCTTTTTGTGCCTCTAGTAGAATACTTAATAGGCTCTCACCTCACTATTACTAAGAATTTCTTCCGTTTGGGCTCAATGTATTTCTTTTTCTCAATCTACCTTGACTTGTTTCCATTTTCTTGAATTCACTCTTTCCCCTCTAGGAGAAATGTAAAGAATCCCAAAATCCCCACATACGAGCTATCCTTTAAAGTCTCATAATCATATGCATTCCCTAAATTTTCTGTACACTTCTTCAAACCAGAGAATATTTGGCAAGTTCTTACCTCTAACCTTTACCATCTGATTTGTGGTGACATATTTAATAGGTTAACTAGTAACAGCAGTCATAGCCTCATACCTCTCCCCAGCACCGTTTTCTAATATTTTTCCACAAAAGCTTCTAAGAGACAATAGTCTTAACCACAAATCCAAGGGATATTTATGCAAATGAGTTGGGCCACTGAGTAGTTTGAGTGAATCGAACTCGTCAACATACATCTGCCAATTGACAGAGACACAACATTCAAGACAAATGAAATCTCAAAATAACTTGCAAATAGCGATGAACTCGTCCCTTCTTTTCTACCACAACTATCCCAAGGACTGGAATAACAGAAACATTTCATGATACTAGCATCCTGTGTCTCGTCAATCTCGGGGAAGTAACATGATAGACTTGCAAAGAGCGATGAACGCGTCCCTTCTTTTCTACCACAACTATCCCAAGGACTGGAATAACAGAAGCATTTCATGATACCAGCAACCTGTGTCTCGTCAATCTCAGGGAAGTAACATGTTAGACTTGCAAATAGCAATGAACTCGTCCCTTCTTTTCTACCACAACTATCCCAAGGACTAGAATAACACAAGCATTTCACAATACCAGCATCCTGTGTCTCTTCGATCTCCGGGAAGTAACTCTCTTCATGAGATTCTTCGATGCATGTATAAGTTCACAAATTTTGCTATAGTTTATAATTTTTACCAAAAATTTATAGAAATTACATTCATACTCCAAAAATTTTGCCATAGTTTATACAACTTTTACCAAAAATTGATAGAAATTACATTCATACTCCAAAATCTCATACAGACACTACTGGATACAAAACCGGTATAGAGTTATGTGGATGCCACAAGATAACTCATATCCTAATCTTCAAATAATTTTTTTACTAAATATCCATGCTCAAAATCTATAACCTTAGTAACCAAAAATATAACAGGATAAGAGACTGTTGATGCCACATGATACTATCCCTTCAAATATTTTATCACAGACTCCATTAGTGAGCATCCAATATCATAAGATGTAACCTTCAAGATCCATCGGTACGTTTTATATCCATATTAGGAAGTTACATCATGCTTATTTATAAAGATCATACCTAACTCAAACCAGCAACATGGAGGTTAATTCCAGTGTGCCGAGAGACTCACCTGGCCGAGTCCCTGAGTCCCACCACACTGGTTACTTCAATTAGAATGAAAAATTCATACTGCACAAGCACATGTGCACACACACAAAAAAAAAAAAGAAGCTTGGGTTTCCATGATCTCTCTCTCTCTCTCTCTCTCTCTCTCTGTGACAGATCAACCATAACCACCCTGTAGAGCCTTGCAGATGCATAATTAAACAATTATCAAAACCAAACCACCAGATTAAATGAAACACGCCTTGCAGATGCATGACTAAACAATGATCAAAACCAAACCACCAGATCAGTGGGCATCCAATATCATGAGACGTAACCTTCAAGATCCATTCGTACGTTTTATATCCATATTAGGAAGTTACATCGTGCTTATTAATAAAGATCATACCTAACTTAAACCAGCAACATGGAGGTTAATTCCAGTGTGCCGAGAGACTCACCTGGCCGAGTCCCTGAGTCCCACCACACTGGTTAATTCAATTAGAATGAAAAATTCATACTGCACAAGCAGATGTGCACACACACACAAAAAAAAAAGAAGCTTGGGTTTCCATGATCTCTCTGTGTGTGTGTGTGACAGATCAAACATAACCACCTTGTAGAGCCTTGCAGATGCATAACTAAACAATGATCAAAACCAAACCACCAGATTAAATGAAACACGCCTTGCAGATGCATGGCTGAACAATGATCAAAACCAAACCACCAGATTAAATGAAACACCTGTAATAAGTCCAAAGCAGAATTCCCTTCATAGCGGAAAATCATCAAAAAGCTATGGAATTTACTAGTTCATGTGCAAAAAACACAAATCACCAAACATAATTTAAAAGTTCCTAAATTATGTAATTAACCGACAACGCTCTAAAAATATCATCATACGGTAACCTAAACGAATTCCACATGCCCAGATGCCAAATTCACCAATAAGACAAATTTATGCCCCGAAACCATTAAAACTCCCATGGCCTCACTATAGAGGTCATAAAGTCAAACGCATAACATGATTTACATAGTGAGAGAAAGACGTACGAGAAAGAAAGAGAGGTTCATAAATTCATAGAATACTCAGAGAAACAAACCTGAATCAGAAACAGTAAGAGCTGGGAAGCAAAAGGGACGATCATCTAAGGAGAGTGAAGCATCTTCCTGCTCTGCGACTTTCACCCTTGGATACACTACATGAGGGAAAAAAAAAAAAACCCACATCAAAAACACAATCTAGACTGAAAAAAGCATGTGACTTTCATCTTCTGAAAGTAAGAAACCAGGGCCATATTTACTTGTTGAATAGAAACAACTCTGATATTGAAACAACTTCTTCAAGGGTGCTCTGGTCTGGGGTTTTTCTTGACAGGAGGGAAAACCAAGCAGAGTCAAATATAGGAGAATAAGAGGAATGATGAATCGTTGAAAACGTGGAGTGGAAGAGAAGATTTTTCAGAAAAGAGTTAAGAGACCGTTCGTGAATTTTGAATGAAAATGAATGGGTGGGTTTTAAAAAGGATTTGACGTTAACGGTTGCAAGTTTCAAGTTACAAGTGGTGTTACAAGTAGTGGGAATAGCTAAGATGCCCTGCCCACAGCACTTTTCAACGATTGGGTTTTCATTACAGTAGAGACAAAGAGAGAGTGAGGCAATAGTTTAATTAATATAAACATACCATAAATCTATGTGTGACTCTTTCTGGATAGAGATGAAATAGTTTAATACAAACAGGTTATAAGTATATCTCAGACTCTGGAGAGGAAATCGTTTAGGGAAAGTATCCAATGAGACTATTTAAAGTGGTCACAATAATCATTGACTATTGGATGTAAAGTTGGATGGTTACAATTATTTATTGACTAAACTCAAACTTCAAATGAAATTTCATGAATTTTGTGATACATCGAGCTATCAAATTTCACATCAAATGGTTGTAAAGAATTGTGACCACTTTTATTAAAAAGCAAATGGTGCGGTTTGTACAGAGCCAACCATGAAATTAGAGCCTACCTCCAAATAGTTTCGAAAAATGTGGTTTCAATACTAAAAATCTATGAGATAGCCTTAAAATATATTTTTATCTTTATTTATAAAGTTTAAAACTTAAAAAATAGTGTAGATCGACAGATCTATGAGAACTTGAAAATCATGAAAATTGACGGTCAAAAAATACGTTACAAAATACACTATTTCCAAAACTTGAAATCGATTTTTCTCTCGTGTCTATGCATGTTGATGTCGAGATGATCAATTAGAAGATATTCGGGTATCAAAACAACCTCTTCTAGTGAAAGTTTTGAGATAGGCTCTCATTTGATTGTTTAGAGCCTCGGCTCTATATAAACTTTTTCCAAAAATAAATGGTCTCATTGTATACAATCCCGTAGTATTATGTATTTACTCCCTTGGGTAAGACCCCAACTTTTGGAGATGCAATTGGTTCAACCCATACACCGACCTCAATGAAGAATTTTTTTTTTAATCGCATTCTCTATGTGCTAGAAAAAATGGTCTCGAGATTGAACAAAGATCTATCTAATTTTTAGAAAGTAAGATCTATGTACTAGAAAAAAGGGTCTCAAGATTGAATAAAGATCTATCTAATTTTTGGAGGTTAAGATCTAAGTTTCAAAAACTCAAAATTTAAATTTTGTTTTTTAGAAATTAATCATCTAGTGATTCTTAAGTGGTTCCATGACACTAGTGGGCGATAAGATGAGAGACAGTAGACTTGGGTGGGCTGGCTATATATGACGTTGACTTAGTACATCACCTGTTAGGAGGTGCGAGTTAGTTCAAGTGGAAGGCTAAAAAAATACAAGAGAAATGGGCATGATTGGAAGTAGTGAGAAAAGATATAAAGACTTATGACTTCAATGAACGTATAATCCTTAATAGAGCAGAGTGACAGTTCAAGAGGATTCATGTAGCCAACTTCAATTAATTAAAAAAAGGTTGTGATGATGGTGATAATTGTTAGGTGGTTTCCAATATTTTAAAATAAAAAAATCCATCCAATTGGATACAGATCTAGGGTTCAACCTTGAGCCACAAGCTCGTGTTTGGCTGTAGTGCTGGCTTAGCTACTCAATAGGATGGGATCACCATTATAAGTAGATCTTTTGAGTGAAATAGTTGATACACCTTCAAGGAAATGTTTTGATAGGGCTGCAGCCCTCCACATGGTCCATTAGATTGGACGGTGTGGATTTCTCACCTAAATATATGAAAAAAACTAGGCATTCTAAGCCCGATTGACCTCCTCTAGATTTACACCTAAAAGCCCTTTTGCCCCTAAACTTTAAATTAAATTATGTACGAACATGCATATTTGCAAAACCAATTTTGATATTAGGGCTTCAAAAACTCATTTCCGTACCAAATACTGAGACAATATCACTGCCTGATTCAATGTTTTAAAAATAGATCGGTGACCCAGATCATGTATTCAGATTTTTTATTTGATTAAGTGTATCAACGATCCAAATTGGCGATCCAGTCTACTGAACTGATCATTAAAAATTAAATTTCTTTTTAAAAAGTGGGGCTAGTTCTGACTGGTTCTATGAAAGAATTAGCCACGACCGGCCATGTTATGGGGAACCATCCAATTTCACAATATTTCATGCAAAAAGATTTGCCCCCGATGATTCTTAATTCAGATCGGCTGGTCGGCAAGGGCCATTTCCAGAGAATAACCCTAAGTAGTTGTTGGAGGGGAAAGAGAGATGGCTATTTTCTCACTTCTATTTCCCTCCTCTCCAACTATTAGGTAATCACGATTCTATATTCTCTAAAAATGAGGATCAAATTATATTTAAAAAATATATTTATTATCAAGCCCGCATTTCTATAGTATGGTGGTTGGTCTCATGCAGACCACATCCAATACATATTATATAGGGATTGTATACTAAAACCATTTACCTTTAGTACTGGGACGCTACAATTACTCACAACCATATGATGTGAAATCTAATAGCTTTGGTGTATTACAAAGTTTGAAAAAAGTGCTTTTGAACTTTGAATTTGGTCAATGACAAAAATGTAGCCACCCAATTTCACATCCAATGGTCAAGATTAATTGTAACCACCTTGCACCAAAGTTAAATGGTCTCATTATATACTTTCTTTATTATATAATATTTTATGAACAAAATCAAATTAGAGCGCACCTTCAAATATTTTATGTAGAGCAGAGGCTCTAAACAATCAAAATAGAGCGCACCTTCAAATAGTGTCGAGAAATACGGTTTCAATACTGGAAATATTTGTGATAGCTTTTAAATATATTTTCATCTCTAATTATAAAATCTAAAGTTTAAAAAATAGTGTAGATCGAGAAGATCCAATAAAAACTTGAAAATGTTGAAAATTGAAGGGCATTACAATATGCACTATTTCCATAACTTGAAATCCATTTTTTCTCATATCTATGCATCTTGATGTTGATATGATCAATTTGAGGATATTTGGGCATCGGAACAACTTCTTCTAATGAAATTTTTGAGGTGGTCTCTAATTTGATTGTTCAGAGCCCCGACTCTATTTAAACTTTTTCCATTCACTATTATATAGTCTCTAAAAATTAGGATCAAATTATATTTAAAAAATGTATGTTATTGCCAAGCTCGCATTTCTGCAGTATGTGGGCTGGCTGCATGCTAACCGCATCCAATACATATTATATAATAATTTATTTACAAAATTGAATAATGGGTTCAATAATTTATTTACAAAATCAACTAATAGATTCAATATATAGAGGGTGTGGTTTGTGTAGAGCCAAGGCTCAAAACGATCAAAGTAGAGCGCACCTTCAAATAGTGTTGAGAAATATGGTTTCAATACTGGAAATCTTTGTGATAGGCTTGAAATATATTTTCATCTCTAATTATAAAATTTAAAGCTTAAAAAATAGTGTGATCGATCAATGAAAACTTGAAAATATTGAAAATTGATGGTAAAAAAATATATTACAAGATGCATTATTTCCAAAACTTGAAATCCAATTATTTTTTTCATATCTATATATCTTGATGTCGAGATGATCAATTTGAAGATATTTGATCATCAAAACAACCTCTTCTAGTAAAAATTTTGAGGTGGACTGTAATTTGATTGTTTAGAGCCTCGACTCTATGTAAACCTTTTCTTTTATATAAATATCATTATATATTTTTAGTTATAATATTTAAATATTACATATATATATATATATATATATATATATAGATTTAATATATATACAAAATATATTTAATACCATGGCTAATGTGGATTGACCTCAATAGTTATTATCGAAAACTTGATTTGTTAGAGTCATCGTTCATTATGCTTATAAGTTGCGCATGCATACATCATTTGGACTCGAAACTTACCCTGTGAAAATTTACTACTTGGACAGGACAGAAAAAACTATAATTCTTTGTATTTTTAACTTCAAATTTGCAATCCAAATTACTTTTTATTTAAATATGAAATGTGGGCCCTTGATAAGATTAGATGCACCGAAAGCCTTCGAATTATAAAAGGGTTACATTAAAACGTTTTCTCCCTCCTTTGTATAATTGTGGGCCATGGTGCACATTGTTGAAGGAAACTTGCAGAGAATTATTTCAAAAATTTCTTAACGAAATCAAGTTGTTAGACAGTCTTTATTTGAGGAATCCTCCCTCCTTGCAACAAACCAAAGCCCACAATGTCAAATAATAAGAATCCTCCCTCCTCGTAGCCAAAGCTCACGACATCAAATAATAATAATTTAAAAAATAGAGCATTTTTTTTAAGTTCAAAGGCCAAATAGGATCTCAATACCCTCGTTGAAACCAAAAGGGGAGACTTAAGAATGCAATCAAGCAGCTCTAAAGAAACCAGAGAATCACTTGACAACATCGAGGAATGCAATGTATATCGATACTTCGGGTACAGATAACCTTGGAGTTCATACGCATCGTCATCCTTGAATACTGAATCAACCAAGTAGAGGAGGGTAAGATGTTAGAAAGAGGAGCCATCGATCAAGACAACAGCTGCTAAATCCCATTGGTTTCTCGAACCGAAACCCTAGAATGGGTCCCTGGTGGAGACAGAAGACAACACAGATTATTTGTTTCTTTCCCACTGCACGGACTTTGTGGTCTCCAATCAGGAGGGCCTGTATCATCAAAGTTGATGCTCAAGGCGGGCATAGAAGCCCAAATGTATCGCCATGCATGAGAGATATGGAGGTTTTGTCCGCTTCCCTAATGGACAAGAGAGAGAGAATGGAGGCTAGAATCTCAACTGGTAAACCACTGATTCTATCATCTGCAGGGCCATTTCCAGATAATAACCCTTGATAGTAGTGGGAGGGGAACAAACCACCACTATTTTCTGACTGTACTGCCCTCTTCTGCAAATATTAGGTCTTCACTATTTATAATGGAAAAGGTTTATATAGAGTCACACACTAAACAACCAAATTAGAGCCCAGCTTGGAAATAGTGTCAAGAAATATGGACCCAATATT